AATTCATTTTTTTCCACATCCCACATGAATTTGTAAAATTCAAACAATGTTTATAAATCCCAGGTCCCGGAAGATGACCTCAATAAAGATCGAAACGTTGGCACGACAAAGAAAATGTTTTTCTAAAACCTACGTCACACCAGACCGCATCTCACGATCTCCGAATAATCATAAACTCTAGAGGTGCTAGATATAGTAAACCTATGTTAAAAGTACTCGCAGAAGAACTGGCAAACTCATTGCTATAGATAGAGTGGGCAAAACTCATAAAAGTAATAAATAGAACAATATACATAATTATTCAGAAATCGTGAGATGTGGTCTAGTCCAGACCACATCTCACGATTTCTGAATAATTATCGATTAACGGTCACTAATCACCACACAAATATACATAATTTTATATATAAAACATAACTATCATTCACATGAACAAAACAAAAATTGGCTCAAACAGTAGTAGTATTTGTAGTAAGTTTATTAAGTTTCGTGGTCAGATTGACCCAATAAATTGTTTTCAATTAAGTAATTTTTAATTAAGGTTTCGGTGAAGATAAAAAAGTCAGTGTCACGAGTGGGATTCGAACCCTCGACCTTGCTCAATACGCCGATGCTCTACCACTTGAGAAAATCGTGACTTCGATCCGCTCGGACACAACTTCCCATCTCAACCCCACCTTTTGAATTTTCCCTCCTTTTTTGCCACTTTTCAAATGTCGTGTAATCTATTCTCGGCGACAAATGAAATGGCCATCAACCAAAACCTTAATTAAAAATTAATTAATTGAAAACAATTTATTGGGTCAATCGGACCACGAAACTTAATAGATGTAATAAGCAAAATGAAGTATACTTCACTAAAGCTCTCCGTGGCCATATCATTTGTCACGATAGCTCAAGTGCTAAAGCAGCAGCGTATTTATCCGAAGGTCGTGGGTTCGAATCTCGCTCGTGACACTGACTTTTTTTATCTCAACCAAAACCTTCATCACAAATTAATTTGTAGTAAGTATTCATTTTTTCTTAAATTAGAATTTTTTATATTCAATTTACAGCTCGTTTCGAATTTTATTTACGGATCGGCAGAAGCTGAATGGAACGTAAAGAGAGGATCGTGGATAGTAAGCCCGATTGTAAATAAACCCAGGAGACCGCGATTACGATAAACTGGGCCGAAATTCAGTTGTGGAAGGGAAAAGTGACAGATCCTTTTCTAACGAGCTAAGTCGTCCTTTAATACGGCCTTAAACGATCTCTTGTCTAAGAGTTTATAGGGTGTTTGTGGAGGAGACGAGGGCTTTGTGGTAATTAAATGGGCAGACACCTGTAAGGCGAGACGTGATTTGTCAGCCGGGGACAAGCTTCCCTTGGGGCAGCGGAGCCGGTTCACCCTCGCCACCGCCCTCAAAACTCACCCCCGCCTCTCTTTAAACATCTCTCCCTTTTTCTCGGTCTGGCCACCGACCCAAGCCTTTTTCCCAATTAAAGACACTGAAACCTTTCAAATTGCTTTGTTAAAAAAACGGTGTTGTTTTCGTTTTCTCCTTTCACCTCTTGGTAAACGGCGCGATGAAAATCTGTTCTTTCACCTATAATTAATAAAAAATCTGTTTTATTTATAATTTTGCTTAATGAACAAACACTATTAGTCCACTTTGCTTAACACTACACAATTGCATTATTTTCTGTCTATTTTTATTTTGTGACAACCAATAATACTATTTGAAAATAAATAAATAAAAATGATGAACCACTTTTCGCCATCGTTGGCCACATATTGTGCATAATATCAATTTAGAGGACAGGGTGGCAGACAGGTTTATTGGTTGGAAATGCCGGAAAAGCCCATAGAATTTTAATTGTTAATTATTTGGAGAAAAAAAAAACATTGTAATGCTGTTCCGATCCCTCATCCTGTATGAGAAGAATTACATTTATTACATTTATTAACAATAAAAAAAGATTTTCATCATGGCCTTTAAAAATGTTAACGGAAGTTAAATAAACGATCAGGTTTATGTAAACACCGTTGAATATGTATACACTGTAATATGTGTATCTTTTTCTGTTCCTCTCTCTCTCTCTCTCTCTCTCTCTCTCTCTCTCTCTCTCTTTTGCTTTCTCTCTCTATATTTCTTTTCTCTATTTATTTTTTCTATCTCCCTTTCTCTTCTTTTCACTCTCATTATTTCTTTCTATGTTTTTCTCTCCCTATCGGTTACTCTATCTTTCGTAGACACAAGAAAGAAAGCAACTGAAATATGCACAGAAAAAAAGATCCTCTGGGCGTTCAAGACTTTCAGCCCATATAAAGCGCCAGGAACTGTTGGGATTCTGCAATCTTGCTACAAAAAGGAATAATAATCCTCAGGCCACTAGTTAACTGGTACAGAGCAGTTTCTGTTGTCATTCTTAAATGGTTGTCTATCAGCTTTTCAAGTGCTTCCAGTAGAAAGGATGTTACGCTGATTGGTCTGTAGGATTTGGGTAGTGTAGGGTCTCTTTTCCCTATTTTCGCTATGAACACTACTTTTGCTCTATGGAATGTAGCTTAATGCTATGGTACTTCTACGCAGCAGTGTTGGGATTATTATTTCTGCGAATGCTAACAGGATTCATGGAAGGGCAGTGCAAACTAAACAGATATTCAAAGAAGATTGGCATAACCCAACACGTGTAAATTCTGCAAAGACGCAGAGTAGACACCACACCTATTAACAAACTGTGGTGCTACACTTGCCCCCAGGAGGAAGTGCTTTGGGAAGAAGAAATTCAGCCACTGAAACCGGACCTCCTAATCAAATAACTAATCAAATTCCTTGATGTATTAGAACTCGCCGATGTGCTATAGGCACAAAACGGGGGATAAAACAGCTTTTAAAGGACGCAGTATATTACACATCTCAATTAATACATCTACATCATCTACTCTATCTTTCTCTCCAAGTCATTTGATGTAAGGTCAAATTAGACCAAATGCTGTGACCATAAAAGTCGTATTCATACGTTCAATCCCTCTCTTTCACCTCTCTCTCTCACTCTCTCNCTCTCTCTCTCTCTCTCTCTCTCTCTCTCTCTCTCTCTCTCTCTCTCTCTCTCTCTCTCTCTCTCTCTCTTTGCGATAATTGTATGAGAGGTCGTTTGGGCCTAAATTTGCTACATTTTTTTTACATAAAATGATATTCATTCGCACACTTTTTCTCTCTCTATCTATCTTTTTATCTATCTATCTCTCACTCGCTTGCTTTCTCTTTCTCTCTCTCTCCTTTTCTCACTCTCTCTCCCCTCTCTCTCTATATCTATCTATCTCTCTCTCCCTCTATCTCTTTTTCTTCCACTCTCTCTCTCTTTCTTCCTCACGCCCTCTCTCTCTATCTATGTCTCACTCTCTCACTCTCTCTCTCTCACTCTCTCACTCTCTATCTATCTATCTATCTATCTCTAGCTCGCTTGCTTTCTCTTTCTCTTTCTCCTTTTCTTTTTCTTTCTCTCTCTCTCTCTATCTATCTATATATCTATCTATCTCTCTATCTCTCTTTCTCCTCTATCTCTCTCTATCTATCTACTTATCTCTCTTTCTCTCTCTCCCTCTATCTATCTCTAGATCACTTGCTTTCTCTTTCTCCCTCTCTCTTTCTCTCTCTCTATCTCTAGCTCGCTTGCTTTCTCTCTCTCCCTCTCTTTCTCGTTCTCTCTCATTCCAAGTTGTTGGCCTTATATTCTAATATTATAGAATAGATAGATATTCTTCTAAATAGATAATATTCTTCGACATGTACTTATTTGTAATAATTTCTCTCTTATAACTAACTAAGGCTATGGAGAAGGTTGGTTTACTAAAACATAATACATAAATAAAACAAACATAAAATAAAACATATATATAAGAGTAACGTTACATTAAAGTTATATTAAAAGTGTATATGAATATAATAAAATAGAAAAAGATAAAATATAATAATAAATCTCTCTATCCCAAAATATTAAATAAAACGGAGTTAAATTATAGTACTTATTATCAATAAGCGAAATGCAATTTCTTGTCTTTTATTTGTATTAAGATCCTGATTGAGCTTTACAAAATTATATTACAACAAAATATGTATGTAAATGATTTTTTGTTTTATTCTACCTTAAATTGATTTACTCTGTATTTTTAAAGTTTGAATATGTAAGATACACATATACACAATAATAATTACGTTTATTATATGCTTATTGTAATATATGCAACCCTTGCTAAAAGTATTGTAGGATTTTAAAGCAATAAAATATGATTTGATTTCGTCGGAATGATTTTCACTTTTAAAATGTGCTCTTCATATTACAAAGGAATTTTAATATTCTTTCCGCATTAAATATAAATTATAGATAAAATTCGGAACCTCTTATTTGAAAATAATCGCTCCTCAAATTTTAAGAAACCCCTCTTAACCTGGGCTGGAGTCCAACGATTTTCCACCGCGAAGGAAAATTCGATTGCCCTCCTAAATTTGAGTACGACGCTTTTACCGATAACCATTAAAGGGCAGCTTTAAAAAGCAGCGACCCATTTAAGATAATGCGAACTGGTAATTTAATAACAGATTTATTTACATAATTCAAGTAGGTGTAAGGTTCTATCGGTAGGTATTATCGCTTTTATAACAGCCATTAATATGCATGAGCGGTTTTATGATGGGCCAGGAAACGGTTTGATTTTCAGGATAAAACCGTCTCTAAAATACAAAACATAACGAAGAGAAAGTAGGCAATATTATTTTTAATCGTTTATGATTAATTTTCTCTTCTAGTTTTATTATTTATAACCCTATTCAATACGGGTAAAATTTACGTTCCACAAAAACAATTGTCCACCTTGATCATTTGAAATATTTACTATTGGTTATCTTTCACGTTCAACCTTTTAAACCTATTGCTTTCTACAACCTACATGAAAATGAAAAACAAAATCTATAAAAAAAACTAGAGTTTTTGAATTTACCATATGTTTTAAAGTTGAACTCAACAGTCATGAACTCTCCTTGGTGTTTGAATCCTAGGTTAGCTAAAAGAATTACGAACGAAAGAAGAAATAGTGCGAAAGACTTGTTTCGTCGACTTAAAATTATGTTTAAGTACCTAATTATGACGCTTTGAAAAATTTATTTGGTAGAACTTGCAGGGGTGGAAGGGTTGGAAGCCACTTTGTACTTTTCGTCGTCTTCTTCGACATCTTCCAGAACGTCGTCTTCGCTGGATTCTTCTTCGGCTTCGATCTCATCGCGGAATTTCTTCGATTTTTGGATTTCGCTCGCCATCACTTCCTGTTTGTTCAGCCTTTTGAGATGCATGAGGCAGAATATGACCTTAGACCTTGCGACTCTAGGGTTGGCTTTTTCGAAGGCGCAGTCGGTAGTTATCAAAATTCTGAGCTTAGACAGTCCTCGGAGCTTTTTAAACTGTCGCACGTTAGAAATGGGGTTGTCTCTCAGATTGAGGTAGTGCAGGTTTTTCAACTCGTTTGGAATGGACTTGAGTTTCTTGATCTTATTACCTCTCAAGTGGAGTACCGTCAAGTTAGACAAATGAGCCAAACCTTCGCAACTCCGTATTTTGTTGTTTCCTAGGTACAGATATTTCAAACTGGGGGATAGCTGGTTATCTTTCAGGTTCGACACACGGTTTCCTTTAAGGCTTAAAAGTCGAAGAACAGGCGTGTTTTCGGCATCGAAATTTTCAATAGTCTTGATCTGATTTGAATCGAGATGGGCGTACTCGAGCAACGGCATGCTAAACCGATCGATAGCCGTCATCGTGTTGTTTTTCAACGAAATCCAACGCATGTTCCCACAGCCTGGAAAGTTCATAGACGTCAATTGATTCTGGTCCAAGTTGAGAGCGATCAGTGAGTTGACTTCTTCCAGAATTTTAAGCGAGCCGTTTTTAATTTCGTTATCCGAGAGATCTAAATAAGCGAGGTGCTTTAAAACGTTGATTATTTGGATATCTTGTACAGCCATATGCGAAAGGTCGAGCCCGTACGGATAATAAGTCATGTCCTCGAAATCGAACTGCCAATGGTAGAATCTTTCTCTGGGTATCGTGACCAACGATTTGACTCCAGGAGATTCCAGTTTCCTCCTCGCGATCTCTTCCCTGATCTGTTTCAGCTCTTCAGTCCATGTCATCTGCGAGATGTTCCATTGCAGACCTTTCCTGGGCTTGTCGCGGTCGGGGGTCTTACGTGAATCTTCGTGGAACGTGTGCATCGATCCCCCTTTCTTCAAGAGGCCCTTGATCGGCTTGGCCGTACCGCCGACGCTGAATTCAGACGCAGAACGTAGGTTCGCCGACGCCTCTAGGTCCGTTTCGGACGTCGAGCTCACTCCACTGCTTTCCGTCATTTTTTATGCCGTCGATTATTGCGTATACTATCTATAAACAGCTAAAGCGAAATTGGGAGAACCGCGTCAAAATAATTAAAGACCAACAGCTGAGAATTAACATTCTCACATGGCTTTTATCAATCATGGAAATTACCAGAATATTCCAGCCGTTTTTTACAATTTTATGGCAATCGTCATCTGCAATGATTTCCCCCGATCAGGAATGAAGAACAATCACCTAAACAACAATAAGACGTGTAATTGACAAGGTAAATTTTCAAGAGGGATCAAGTTAGTTTTCAAGCTTTCGTTACGGGCCGTTAAGCTAAGTGTAATGTAACTATTGTTCCTTCCTAAACAACCCCATTTTCATTTCTTCAAAGCGATGCATTCTGTTTTTACGAGCGTGCTCGTTTCGTGAAGGATTTATTAAGCTGGTTATAAATCCGTTAAACTATAATAAACTAACGAAGAAGGTTCTTGTCTACAACACCAGGGAGAGTTTCGACAAAATAAACAGATTAATAAACTATAATGGATTTTCTTAAATAACTTAGCATTTAGCAAATATTCTGAAAAGTCAGTGAGAAGAATAAATCATCTAATCGATTTTGGTAACGATAGTTTTAGCCCTGTCTGTCGTTTATTTTTGTCGGGTTTATAAAAAAACAGGACATACATGCGTCGGCAGTGAAAGGAGGGTGAGAAGAAAAAGGAAAATCCACACAAGTTGTTTATATATTATTATCCTTTCTACTTTTTCCCCATTTCAAAATGGCGCTCATCCCCTCCCAGCTCGGAAAAGCTATTACAGTAAGAAAACAGACATATAAAAGAGGGGGGTAGGTTTGTGGGCTTGCTCCGAGGGGGAGTGGGGCTTGTAAAATCAATATGCCTGAGGCTGGCTAAATCACGCTTATCAAGTACACTTTTACCCTTTGCCATTCTCTAACAACGAGCATTTGATGTTTCCTGGGCGGTTGAAAGGGTCAAACTGACCTAGCCCATTTACTCCCTGACCGCGCGAGACACCTCAGGTGAACGCCCCCTCGTAACCGAAAGCCACCGTGAAAACCCCCTTAAGACTTGTACTTTTTCATCAAGTAGAATTATATAAAAAGAAGATGCAACATTCCACTTTTAATTGGGCACATGTTAATGTGTGAATTTCGTTTTATCTGTAAGCGTTCATACCAAATTTTACACTACATGTTAAATTTGTTTGGCAGGCAGTAAAAATGTACACAAATTATGACCAAAAATATTTACACTTGAGGTCAAAACCTTTAAAAATAGTAGCAACACAAAGGCAGCGCCTGGAACAAATACCAAATTGCTCTTTCAAGAGAGAGCACGAGAGAAGCGAACGCAGAAAAATTCCATGTATGAAAGATAGTCATACAAAGCAACAATAGTCGAACCCTCAAGGTGAAGATATAAACTGCTCAAAAATGAATAGGGATATTTGTAATTTATTCTTATTCTATTAAATATTAATAATAAAGTGGGAAGTTTATGGGCCGACAAACAGCTGAGGTCAACTCCGACCCTCTGCATATTTTCCTTCTTTTTCTCTTCTCTCGCGCGTATTTTGTTTTACACTGCAGCCATTTGAGCGTCTTGATCAGGTTACTGACTCTCTGATTTCAAATATATACTACGTTGATAGCTTAGAATGCTAGTCTCTCGTTTGTGCCTCAGGTTGTCAGAATAGAAACAAAACATACAATACATATATATCACCACAAACATAGACGTCTGGTCACATCCACTCCCCCAGAGTACCCGATATCCCTCGAGGTGGGGTTATAAGCAACCCATTACTTTCAAGCTAATAAATTACTTTTACTCTCCAGACGACACATACTCACCCCAGAGTACTCGATATTCTTCGGGGCAGGGTTATAAGCAACCCCTTCCTTTCACGCTAATAAATTACTTTTACTCTCCAGACGTCACACCCTCACCCCAGAGTACTCGATATTCCTCGAGGCGGGGTTATAAGCAACCCCTTCCTTTCACGATAATAAATTATTTTTACTCTCCAGACGTCACACCCTCACCCGAAAGTACTCGATATTTTTCGGGGGGAGGGTTATAAGCAACCCCTTCCTTTCACGCTAATAAATTACTTTTACTCTCCAGACGACATACTCACCCCAGAGTACTCGATATTTTTCGGGGGGAGGGTTATAAGCAACCCCTTCCTTTCACGCTAATAAATTACTTTTACTCTCCAGACGTCACACCCTCACCCCAAAGTATTCGATATTCCTCGAGGCGGGGTTATAAGCAACGCCCTCCTTTCACGCTAATAAATTGTATTCATTACAATAAATTAACACAAACACAGAAGTCTGGTCATTCACTCCCCCAGAGTACTCGATATTCCTCGGAACGCCTTATTCTATTAATTTTTAATTAAATTAACGATGTATTTTTGTTAGTGGGATAAAAATAATAGAAAATACAAACCAAAAACAAACAAATGTTGATTCTCATTGTTAATAACACATTTACTTAAGAATAGTTATCCAGTTGTACTCTTTTTAACTATGGATAGACCTCATCTTGAAACACAACGAGGTCACCGGGAAGTGGATATTTCAGAAACAGTTGGCGTTTCTCAGAGCGTGGTCTCCCGGGCTTTAGTCCTATTCGGAGAGAATGGAAATGCCAAAAGGAGGCCTGGTAGTGGATCACAGAATGGCACTACGACGCTAAGGGAGGAAAGGAATTTTGACACTGTTGCAAGACGGAACCCTTTCCATAGTGCTCGCAAGATCGTAAATGAAGTACAAGCTGCTTTGGCAAGGCCTTTATCAACACAAACGATTCGTAAACGTTTGTGGGAAGTTGGTCTCACATTGTATGTCCCTCTGAGACGACTGCACCAACAGCTCGTCACCAGCAAATTCAGGAGATTATGGTGCAGCATGCTCCTAGAATAAAACAATTGGAATGCTGTTATCGTTACTGATGAGTCACGTTTCGGCCTGTAGACGCCAAAGAGTACCGAGAACAGGAGATGTGTCTAATGCCCCAGTTCTTGCTCCCTTTAGTGCAGTTTGGAGGAAGCGGATCGAATTTTCCCTTCTTTTTGCCATTTTTCAAATGTCATTTAATCAGGATTCGATTCTTAGCTACTTATCAAGTGGCCACGAGGAGCTGTTAGTGAAGTGATACTTCTTTACTTATTAAATAGTGATCCATTTATATTTAGAGGTCAAATTGACCATATTAATTATTTCAGTTTATTATTCTTGTGATGCAAGGTGCAGAAATAGGGAAAATTCTAACGGTTGTAGGCTGAGACGAGGAGTTGGTGTCCGAGGGGATCGAAGACATGATAGCTCAAATGGTTCGAGCAGCGGCTTATTTAGCCAAAGGTCGTGGGTTCGAATCCCGCTATGACACTGACTTTTTATCTCAACCAATACCTTACAAAAAAAGATTATTGATTTGTAATAATTAATATGGTCTATTAGGCCACTAAACATAAATGGATTACTACTTAGATTAAGGTTATTTTGTTACAATCTTGAATAATTTAATCGACAAACTCCTACGATTACATTGAATAACAAATAATAGAATTGAAATAATGGTATTAGAATATTTAAAAGCAATAAAAATAAACCCTGATATGTTTTCAAGTGTATAAATAATAAATTTCTTTATATGTATTTTTAAAACGCCTGACACGAACATTTGTAGAGTTCAATTATACTCCAACTTGGAATCGTGTGTTATTCAGAATTTGAGAAAATATTCCAGCTTTGAATATCATTGAAATAACAATATTATGAAGATTTTTTTTTAACTGATGGAGGTGTCTAGTTTGCAAGTCCGTTTTGGCAGTTTCTTCCATTCGTTGCTGTTGTTTTATCGCTCAATAAGAGCGATGGTAATGAAATTAACATATTTTCTCATGGTTTCTATTTATGCAAAGCCCCCTCTCCGTTGGCTCGTGTGTAGAGAGAAAACATCGGCCTCATTCGAAAAATTAACATTTTATTTGTAATTCATTCACAAATTGGGAATATCATAATATTATGACGGGGATGGCTCTTGTAGAAAACTCACCCTGGGTGTAATTACAAGGTGAATGTTTAACTTTCTCTGTTATCTTTCGTTACTCCCTCGGCCAGACCGGTCGGCAAGTGGAGTGAAAAGGGGTAAAATGATTTTACATGTTGATCAAGCAATAATAAAGCTGATTGGGTGCTTGCGGGCGGAACTCACCAAACATTTCTACTGTTTACTCTAATAATAACTTGCCGAGCATTCTCTCCTCTCCACTTTTGTCCTCGACAACTACGTTCAATAACGGCCGCCCCCTCTCTTTTTAGAATATCACATTTTAATATCAAAGATGGAAAACACACCCCGGCCTCGGAAAAACTGAAACAGGGCGGCAACAGTCAACTCGTCGTTTCCGTTTTCGTTTTAAATCGAATTCGTTTATATTTTAAATATAATTTCAGACGTAGGTGGAAAACGGCCTTTTATGACCATCGAACGGCGTGTACTTGTCAATCCGGCCGGGTCATCGGATTATTACGTTCTACGTGTGCATACAATTTCGAGAAATTCAGAATTCGAAACGCGTGTGGTCGAAAATTGGGTTGCAAATATTTTCATAACGCGTGAGTGATGTTTGGGGAATGCTCGTTTTGACACTTATCCATTATTTCCGTTACAGTCGGAATTACGAGGGGATTTTATAAAATACAAGCTGTTGGAAGGAAATGGCGTTTCAAATGTTTTCGCTGTCGTTTATTTTCATTTGATCGATCGTTCAAGAAATTACTGTACAATGCCATAATTCAAGTACGATTTTATAGCAAGAAAAATACACAGTGAAATTTCAATTAGCTATCGTGACTTCAAGCTCAAGTGGTAGAGCAGCGGCGTATTTAGCCGAAGGTCGTTGGTTCGAATCCCGCTTGTGACACTGACATTTTTATATCAACTAAGCCCTTACAGAGAGTAATTAATTGAAAGAAGTAATTTGGTCAATTGACCACTAAAACATAAAAGTATTAGTTACATTATTCAAGTACACTAACTACAAAGTACCTGCATCAATACTGTCTGTTTCATAATGGAGAAGTCTGGCTAGTGATACAAGTAATATTACACAACCAAAAAATACAAAAATACAAGTCAGCTGTAGGATTAGAGAGGGAGACCAGGAACCAAACACCTTTGCTGTTTCAAGCATCGTAGGTAGCACCTATCGGAGATGATACATCACGGATGCATCTTGGGTACCTGAATTTAATTCCCTTAAATTTTGAGACATCACAATTATATACATTATGTACAATGGGATACAATATTATTTATCATTTCCAAATATCCTGAGTGGAACCAGCAACCATTTCAATTATCCCACATTGCTGAATTGTTAGTTACGTACTATTTGCTGACCCGGGCCCATCTTCTCTTCAGTCGCCTTACTGGATTGTCGGGACGGTTAATGCTAGACAAACCTCTGGCTGTAGGATGTGAGGAT